GTTGTTGCTGTTGTTGTTGTACTAGTAGTAGTAGTAGTAGTAGTAGTAGTAGTAGTAGTTGTTGTTGTTGTAGCAGCAGAGTAGCAGTAGCAGCGAATGACACTCTGAAGCTCCACTTGTACAGTAGAGTTCGACATAAACCCCATAAGTCTTCGTGAATTTCGTGGACAGTTTTCGTACCATCCCAGACTGCTCGAGAAACCTGATGCTCGGCTATGTAGTATATCGGAAGAATGACGGCTCGTTATGGCGATATGTAGTTACATCGAGCTTTGGTGAACTTCTTTCAATCCTGGGCTCTCGACACGACCTGCTACTGGTAGCAGGCCAGACCAGGGCCAGACCATGGAAGCCTCGTGAAGCAGTAAACAGAGCCTGCCATAACAAAAGGCACCAAGGGTTCAAGTCCACTACAACCCAATATCCCCAAAAACAAAGCTGAAAGCCCAAAATGCAAAGGCCTGAACCGCCTTTTGCATCCAGGACTCTTGCAAGCAGCCGGGAAACTCCACAAGACAGCGCCTAAACCCTAGAACCCTCAACCCTGAATCGTAGATGCCGAGACTACCCAGCTGGACTACCCGACTACCCCCGCGAGGCCTTTGCGGGGGCGGGGGCGGAGGCGGAAGGATGGGAGCATTAGGAAGGAGAAGCTTCGGTTCGTCCTGGCCCAGAGATCACAGAGAGGTCTCTTAGTTTTGGGGCTTTGGGTTTAATGTTGAGAGTTTGCGGTGCGGGATTTAGGGTCGGGGTTTAGGGTTTCAGCCCACTCGCGCGGCTGCGCACAGCCAGGCGAGGATACCGGTGCGACGACGCTTCGGCGAAAACCTAAAGCCTTCCACCCCCCAAAACCCTTTTCAGCAACCCGAAACCCTTTTTGAAACCGGACTTGATGACTGCCAGCACTCCAGCCAGCGAATCTGGTATTCAGACGGAAAACCCTAAACCCCCCAAAACCCTAAACCCTAAACCCCAAACCCCATTCAGAGCTCCTCCAACGTCTTCGGCTTGGAGTTGGAGCTTGGCGATGGAGGCACGGGCGGAAATTTCAGGCCGGCGCGGCCGCGGTGGAAGCCTCAGGGGTGCGGGTTTCGGCTCTCACACTACTATATATTATTCCTTAGTGTTCCGTATTATAACTGTATCTTATTCCTTAGTGTTCCGTATTATAACTGTATTATGGCAGATCCCAAAACCCTATTCCGTTTGGACAATGCAGGCGAGGCTTGTGGGGCTTTGTTGACTTGGGGGTTAGGAATTTATATGGTTTACGGTTTCGGCGCTTACACTCGGACACTCCAGGCGAGGCATGTGGGTTTAGGGTCTATAGGGACTTTGCTTCTTGGAGATTCGGAGGTTTCGGCTGTTGGTTTTTTAGCGGTTTAGGATGGTTTTTGCCTGCCGCCTTGCTAGGACGAACCCAGACTTTCGGACAAGCTTTTGGGGGGGGTTCAGGGTTTAAGATTTTTGATCGCTAGATCCCTTTCCACGGGAAGCCATCTGGTGGCTGGGCATGACTGTGTTATGACTGTCTAGATCAAAAGACAGCACACAATGACGATCACTACTGGTTCTATCTTCGGGCCTTCCACTCACGACCCTCGATCACCCTCGGCGTTGGAGTTCTCCAGAACCCTCTTGGGCTTCACAAGTTGTTGCAAGGGCTTCATAATTTTAACCGTCTTCTACCTGGTTGTGCAAGGGCTTTGTGAGGCTTTCAAAAGGGGTTGTGTTGTCATTCTGGGTTTCTGATATCAGAATTGTGGCCCCTCGATTCTGCAACAAGCACCTGTGCTTCACAACGCGGCTGATGCATGTCTAGCGGCTAGCGGCTAGCACCAAAGAAAGTCCCTTACACTAAGTTCAGAAAGAAGACAAGGTTGTGGGACTCAAGACAACAATCATACTGGAGCCCTTTAGGAGCAGTACTACTTATTCCAGCCTTTTACCCGGAGAGGGGTGGCTACCAACTGCAACCCCGCCTTCTGGTGGCTTTTCTGGCGGCTTCGGCCGATTCTCCTGACGCTGCTCTTGGGCAAGAGCTTCAGGGAACGGGCCGTGGATTTCGAAGGGTCTGTTACTTTTGTGAAGCTCCTTTTTGTGAGTAATGTTCTATGTGAGCAGATGCCTCCGAATGACAGATCGGAGAGTTAAACTCACGTGACACCCCGTTTCTGCACGCGCGGCCATTTGCTCGACGTCCGACGCTATCTTTCTATGATCTGCGCGGTCATCAACTGTTTCTTGAGCTGTCCTGTGGTCAGGGTAGCAGATAAACAAACAAGATCTGGCGTGCCGAGTTCCAGTGTGACCGTACAGCCATCATTCTTGCTACGATGGCTGAGACCAGACATAAGACTACTGCACTGCTGTCCTTTAATCGGCCTCCTCTCTCCGTTCTCATTGTCTTGGTGCTGATTAAACCCAGTCACGACCATCATAGTCCGTTCTACCGGCAATGTATGCGTGCTGACACTGCTCTCCCCCTTTCCGCATGGCAGGTAACACATGAGCTACTGCTACTGGTTATCTCCCTATTGAAGTATTAGGGGGAACCTTCGAGCACTCCTAAGTGCAGTTTGCAGCCGCAAAGCCCTCAGAGTATTGCCTAAGATCTAACGTAATAAATGAACCTACCGCCCTAAGCGTAAATCCTAGAACCTACAACCCCCAACTCGCCTTGGGCCGTTAGGTCGCATATCACCCTGCACCGAAAAATCTGACACCCTAATACACCATGTGACAATGTGGGAACCCCGCAAGCCCTGAACCCTATAACCTGCTTCGGAAGAGACCACTGAAGACCAAGCCGCGAGTGGCATTGGCGGTGGGGGAACCGGTCCGGGACTCCTTGTGGCCAAAATGCAGCAGCCGAGTCGACTCTTAAGATTCGAGGGGCTCTTCGCTTTTGAGGGTTTCATGAGGGTTTCAGGGCTGCAATCATTTCGGGACTTTGATGTTTGGGTGGTGTTGGGTCTGGGGTGTTTCGGCCTTCGCACTCGGACATGCTTAGGGCTGGCAGCTTCGTCAGTGGGTCTTTGGCCCAGGGCATTGCAGGCAGCAGAAGTAGAAGCCAGCATCCTGGCAAAGGAGCCGCTCCAACTCTACTCATTCTACCCGGAACCCGAACCCTGCCGCAAAAGCACTACATCTAAACGCCCCCTAACCCTACTACATCTAAACGCCATAAACCCCATGCATCCAAGCCACTCCAAGGCTGGCGGTCGCGGCAGCCGGGGCTGTGGAGGAAGGGCCAAAGCCGGTGGCTCCTGTGGTTCCAGCCGAAACGCGGGGGGGGGGGGGGGGGGGG